CGAGCGTGCGCACTGCTGTCTTCTACGGGGCAACGCTGGACAGCCGCTCTGCCGCAGCGTTGGCACACCGTCGACTTGCTGTGTTGGCAGGTCGCCTTTCTGTAGTGCTGGCGCGGCTCCTCTACGCAACGCTGGCACGCGGTCGACCATGCTGTGCTGTCTGTCGACCAGTCTAGCTGCTGAGTTGCTAGGTGCCTGATGTAGTCATTCTTGTCATTGCTTGTTAAAAAAAAAACAATTCTATGATTCCAACTTTGCTAGTGGAAACTCTTGCCGATTTCTCCCGTAATTGTGCAAGCACTAAGGAACTAGGAAAGCTACGATCACTCCTAGTAATTTGTGCCAACCTCGTAGTATAGCTCACCACCGTTGTAGAGTGACTCTCCACAGTTTGTACTGTGAACTTATATATATACTGTTAGAATAGTAGCTTGGAGGGTGTATGAGCATCCGTTGGAACCATGTTAGGGTTGAGTGTCGAGAGGGTTGGACAAGGAGAAAAGTGTCGAGGAAGAATGTTTCACTAAAGGGCCAAAGGCCCAAGTTATACAAGAGACAAGTAAGGAGGGGGTGCACCATAAGCAGGACAGCGATATAACTACACAACAGCTAGAACTGCATGAAGTTATACAGAAATATATTATGACATATACCTGCATGCTTACACTTGCTAGGGTATGATCACTGTACTGTTTGTGCTCTTTATATATAACACTGCACGTAAACTGACCTTGTGGCCCTTTGCTTGTGCTCGGACTGTGTGGTGACTTTGTGATCCACCCTGAGCTTGCTTTGATTTTCTTGACTGGTCTTGTGACCACTTGTTCCCCCCCACTTTGCCTATGGGGGTGTGTCAGAATGTCATATTGCTTACTTTGTGTAGGCTATAGTGGGGTAGCCCATAAAGGGTAATACCAAATTAGGGTTAGTACTTGTACCCAACTGTTTCATAGTTCATTCATTCTCGTTCATTCTTTTGACAAGATTCCGCAATATAGGTATGCGGTAAGCGAAACCGGTATGCGGTATGCGAAGTCTTGCTACTACGCATAAGGATGATGTACGCGAAACCAGACGCGTACAGGGCTTCGCATTAACAATTTACGGAGACCCATGCAAAACAGCTGTTGGATTGTGACGGTATGAAAACCAAAGGAATTTTGAAATTAATCAGCTTTCTTGTTAGATTCCAGCAACCACCATCCTGAAGTGGCCCAATCACTAGAATGTGTCACTTTCCAATGTTGAGGTTCCGGGACCATTTCGTCAGTGCCGATGAGTTTTACCAGCCCCTCAGAAGGGGGTTTGCACGTGCTCGTTCGGGAGTGGATGACTCTCCCTTGATACCTAATGAGGCATGAAAACAAGTGGGTAGACGGATTACGATATAGAGCCCGGATAATATCAAAAGGGGGTGCTTCCCCCTCATGTGCCATTATCGATTCCAAGATCCATTTAGATGGCTAGGTGGGTTCGAAATTGACCTTTTTTTAACTAGGTACAGCAGGGTTTGTAGGTTATCAGGGCTAAATCTCGTCTAGGTCTAGCTAGAATGCGGTCTACGGTGTTTCTTACGCGGTTTCATGCTGTTGATGGTGGTTGCAAACAGTGAGTAGCGCAAGTGGCAGTTCCCGCGTGAAGAAGGAACCCTGCAATTGGTCAAGAAAACACACCTTTCTGTTCCGTCGGTTGTCAATGCACGGGGTGGGGCTGGATGGTTTCGTTTGGTGAAGGATGGACTTATTCAAGCCACCCAAATTTGAGGGCCGACAAACAAGGAATTGTGTTGACATATGGGGATATCCCGAGGGAATTTTGATGGAGTTCAATTATGTGGCATTCTCTTGTTTCAATTTTGATGGAGTTTAATTATGAGGGTTTGTTTTTTAATATTTGCTGAGCTGCCGAGTTTCCATATTTGTGTACGAGATTTGAAGACCTGTCTGGATTCTGTGAGGCTGACGCAGCTGGGATCAACAGTTTCAACCTTGAATACATAGTGATGGTGAATACCCCTTGTCCCTCGAATCATTTGCATTCGGTCGACTTAGGCCAGCACAGACTCTGTTTGCTCGTGTTCCAAACCCAGCTTTGGCATCCAAACCAGCTCCTACACATTTCTTAGCGTTAGTGTAATGCATAATATAATTGCTCAAATTTACCCTAAACCCACGTCGATGTGTTTTTGATACTCACAAACACTTTCCAAGACGCAATCAACCACTGTTTGACCAAACATGAATATAATACGGAGATACTATTTGATTACACTTTTTATGAAAAATTCCAAATTTTGAATTGACAAAGTACAAACGCTATCTTAGGATTGACCACCCGTTTCTACATTCGCTAGAAAAACAAGATAGGCAAGTGTTGAAGCTCTGCCTTCTCCAACTTAAATTTGCAATCATCCTCTTCAAGCATATACACCGTTGTCAAGTATTTGGATTTCATCACTGCTGATTAGATGTTGGGTAGAACAATCGAATGACTGCAACACTGGTCACATAATAGGACAAGGTGATCAATGAAAACCCGGTGAAGTTTTGTAGAGAGTCTATTTGAACGATATGTTTCAACCCTAGGCCGTCTGGCCGTCTGGGTGTCGAACCTCCAGTTTCAGTGACAACGGGTCGAAGCTGCCCCGAACCTACAGCCCGCAAAGCAAATCTCGTTTGTGTTGTTCTGCTCTCATTCCGCCCTCGATTCTCTCTGTCCAGGACAAAATAAGGTTGTGGGGTGAATGCAATGCAATGTCCCCAAGACCCGCTGCCACCACCACAAGTGGTTCTGGCCAGCAGCAAATTTTGGTGGCGGAAAAAAAATTAGGTGGCGGAAGGACCAGCTTCCGCGTGATGGGAGGGCGGGGCACTCGCCAAGTTGAAGGCAGCCTTGTCTTGCTTGCTGTGGCTCCAGGCCGGTGGCCAACCCCGCATCTGCGTGATGTGGCAACATCGCACGCATGCAGCAGACGAGGGACGAAGGAGAGTTTTGGTTATTGCCAAAGATGATATGATCTTTTGAGCTAGTAGTCATCACTTCCTGGAGTAACTCCATCAGCTTCCCGGGCAATTGTCGTCTCAATTTCGAGATAGATAGAAAACCCGCAAAACAGAAAATGTCATAAGCAGGAGAAGAGATTCAATACCCAAAACGTTTAGAGCTGTTACAGCGAAATAAACGCATCAGCCAGCAGTTCTGGAATGGCGCAAATACAGCTCGAGAAGATAGTTCTTTGGTTATTTATTATCCAGTTAGATTATTGAGAGAAATATTTAAATATAGATCGTAATTATGTATTTGGTATATATTGACTGATTGTTTGTCAATCTATAATTATTTGGTATATATTGACTGATTATTTGTCAATATATACTCATCTAATTATTAATATAAATATCGTAATTAACAATAAATAATAACATAAGATCATAATAGATAATTAATAAATGATTTGTCTGTTATATATTTTTATTATAATTTATATGATATTTTGTTGTCCCCATGTATAGATGTTTATATATATAACCAGTATGCTAATTAATAGGTCATATAAGTAGGGTGATACAGCTAAAAGATTTCGAATTGTGATATAATGGTATATTTGAATGTACTTCATATTTTTGTGTGTGCAATTTATAGTGCTGCCAGTCATCATAATGCATCATGAGTCTGATAGTTACTAAGTTCTGGGTGATGGATAAGAAAATGGTAATTTTCCTGGTTAGTATTTGGATTAATATTTTGGAAAGGTGGTAGAAGATACTACAATGTTCCACAACGATGTTGCAATGTGAGACTTGCTTCAAGCCGAAACTAAGACTGCAAAAGCTTCGAATAGAATCAATATGACGCAAATTCCCTTACAGGGAAGGACGAGCCACCCTTGTGTTCTCTGTTGCATCCAACGTCTGTCGTTTTGAACGGCTGCTCCTCCTGACGTTGCACAGTCCAGCTTTGAGAATCACTGCTTCTCCGCCCTCAGATGACAGCCAAGCCACCCACAACCCAGCAGCACTAACCTCAACCACCCATCCCATCTACTAACATGCTCCTTTCTCGTTGGCTGCCTTCCTGAGCCAGCAACTTTCGTTTGAGAGTGAGTTATTCTGGGACCCACTCCGCACCACCAGGGACTGCGTGCCAACGTCCGAAAACTTCGGCGACGTCACTTAACCTTAGAGTACAGGCCGTGACGGCTTCGACTGCAATTGAGCCCAACAGTGTCTTTTCAGTCCTTGAGGACGAAGAGCTCAGCTCTTAGGTAATACCTAAGTTTAGGTCGTTTTCAAGCGGATGTGTCTAGATCTAAGTGTAGTTACTATGCGCCGTCCAGATATTTCAATGATTGATACTTTTTACCCTTTTCCACGCCGAGTTGTTGTTTTTGCAACCGTTCCGACAAACCCGCCGGTAATACTTTTCCTTCCTTCGTAGAAACCGTGTTTTGTGATTCTTTCCTTCATGATTGCAGTGCGCATCATCGTCACATGGCAGCAGACCTCTTCGCCCACCATCACTCGCCCTAAATTCACAGATTCGCCACGTCTGGACTAACTAGGAGAAAAAATCCTAGTAATTGATCCAATGAGTGCGGCGGTGCGAGAGACGAATGGGAAGGAAAGCGGATTCCGGTCCATTATAATCGTCAGTAAACAGCGTCGTTGCAGCCGAGCGGTTGTGTCATGATGGTTGAGGCCCGTCATGATGGTAACGCGGGACAGGACGGCTGTCATGATGATGCACAGGATGGTCATGATGACGCACATAATCATGATAATCATGGCGGCGCATATCTTGGTCATGAGGAATCTGGATACATCCATGGAGAACCGTTGCATCAGCGCCGAGAGCAGCACAAGGCAATACATCCTGAGCATTTGAAGCATCAGAAACATCAGCAGCAGCATGATGAGGAGCATCGGAAGCATCATGGAACGCATCACAGGGATGATGCGCATCAGAAGCATCAGAATCTGGAGGCTCAAGAAGCTCGGCCGATGCCTCAGGCACTGCAGTTAGTACCAACACGGACCCATCTGCCTGCCCCTGCTCCCTCCATTTTAAATTCTGCTGCTACTAGTATCACTGCTACCACTACCACTACTTCTGACACATTTGCACATGCAGCCGCCGCTCCTGAGATGTACCCCATTCGGACAGACAGCAACAGCAACCGACAGGCGCTGACCACCCCCCCAGGGCCTCCGAGCGGCTCCTCTGCTCTTGTAAGCCTCCCTCCTCCCCTCACAGGCCCCCCATCGGCATCCAATCCCTCTTCAACTGCCGCGCAACTAGCAACTGCCCCAGCAGCAGCAGGAGAAGCAACGTCAACAGCAGAGCCAGCACCGCCAGCGTCAGCAGCAGCGCCAGCGCCTCCTGCAGCAGCAGGAGCAGCAACAGGAGGTGGGAGCGGCAGCGGTTCCATCACCATCCCGCACATCCCTGCGCCGTCCTTCTCGTCCTCTCTCCCTCCGTCGCTCCTCACGGACCTGGAAGGCATCCCGCCCTGCAGCTGCTTCACCAACTCCGTGTCCGCGCACTTCAACCCGCACGTGCACGCCATCCGCTATACGGGCGTGCGCAGCCGCGGCAGCAACCGTTGGATTGCGGAGATCAAGGACAACCAGCGCGGCGTGCGCAAGTGGCTGGGAACCTTCTCCTGCCCCGTGCAGGCCGCGCACGCGTTTGATGCCGCCGCCAGGGCAGTGCGGGGACCCAACGCGCGGACGAACTTCCGCGTGGGGGAAACCGCGGGCGTGCCTGGAACCGGGGGGAGCAGGTCGAGACGGTGGAAGAAAGTCGCTGCTGACAGTAAGGCTGCTGCTCTGGCTGCTGCGGCTGCTCTGGAGGCAGAGGCTCAGGCAGGGGGTTTGGAGGGTGGTGGGGTGGGCGTGGGAGAGGAGAGTGCTGCGGTGTTTGCTGCTGCAAGTCCTCGCCTTGCTGCTGGTGCCTGGTCTCTGGGTGCTGCAGGGGGAAATACGTCCTCAGGAATGGCATTACAAGGCAACGCATCCCAAGGCAACACATCCCAAGGCAACGCATCCCAAGGCAACGCATCCCAAGGCAACGCATTCCAAGGCAACACTTCCAATGCGTCCCATCATGGCATTGCGTCGCAATGTCATACGTCAGAGTCCCCTCGGGAGTCGCCTCGAGAGCGATGGGCGTTTGACTTGGAGGCCGTGCCATCCCGTGATGGTGAGAACGAGGAGGACGCAGCGGCGGCGGCGGTGGGGGAGGGAAAAAGAGATTGCAGTATGGACAAGGGGGGGCACAGTGAGAGAGGCAGTGAAGCTGCGGGCAAAGGCCTTAGCACTTCTACTGCGCAGCAAACCCAAGTTCCACGCGCCCGGGCTGTCAAGCACGGCGCCATCACATTTGAGAATTCTCAAAACGCTCGGGCTGTGAAGCACAGCGCCATCATAGCTCTCTGCCATCCTCATCATGGCGCATCACCTCACCCCCAAGCATCACCTTTCTCCCACCCATCACCGCTACCCCACCCCCACCCGTCACATCTCTCCCATCCATCACCGCTACCCAACCCATCACCTCTACCCCACCCATCGTCTCACCAGCAGCGTCTCAGCTTTGACATGTCCTTTAGGCAAGCCCGCATGGACCCCTCCACGCCTGGGCATCATTCTGATGCTCCTGCTGCTGCTGCTGCTCCTGTTGCTCTTCCTCTTACTGCCACTGCACCTGCTGCACCTGCTGCACCTGCTGTTGCTGTTCCTGCTGCTGCTGCTCCTCCTCCTGCTGCTGCTGCTGCTGCTGCTGCTGCTGCTGCTGCTGCTGCTGCTGCTGCTGCTGCGACGGTACCGTGCAGTCAAGCCCGTGGCGCGGACGCGTCCAGGCATACTGGCGCGGCCACGGTTGCTGCTGCTGCGACGCTCCGGGGCGTGCTGTCCCACCAGGTGAATCTTGACCCACCTGAAAGCGCCCCCCCCACCACGATCCGAGCGATTCTCGGCCACATGCTCGGTGCGCGGGGGTCTGGTGCGGTGGGTGCAGCAGGTGCAGCAGATGGAGCAGGAGCTGCAGGGGGAGCAGGACGAGCAGGAGCAGTAGGGGCAGGAGGAGCAGTAGGGGCAGCAGGAGCAGTAGGGGCAGGAGGAGCAGCAGGCGCAGCAGCAGGAACGATTGTGGGAGCAGCAGCGGGAGCAGCGTGGTCCACTCGCAGCCGTGCTGGTCACGAGCAGCGCAAGGGTGGGGCCGGCATCCCTCACTACTCCCCTTACCACTCCCCTCACCACTCGTACCAACGCCATGCCATCCCGCATGCACACCAGCAGGGTGCCGCCGTCAGCATCTCTCACGCCCTCCACTCCCCACTCAGCCTCAGCCTCAGCCTCCCTCACCCGCACAGCACCACTCATGCTGGGCACCAGAAGCTCTCACGCTCAGGGCAGCAGCAGGAGGCGCGTCAAGCGAGCCAGCCCCAGGGCGCAGGAGACGTGGATCCCGCAGGTGCTGCAGGCGGGAGGGTGCGAGGCACTGCGCGGATACGGCTGGCGGCCCCCAAGGGCAGCTCTGGGACCACCATGGCGCAGACGCAGACGCCCAGCAAGGGCAGTGCTGGCATGATGGCACAGGCGCCCACCAAGGAAAGCACTGGTGCTGTGGCTCAGGCGGCGATCCTCAGCGCACCTGTACCTGCTGCTGGGCACACCCTGGCCCCGACGTCTCCTCGCTGTCCTCCTCCTCCTCCGCCTCCTCTCTCACTTTCCTTGCCTCGTCCTCCTCCCTTTCCCCCGCCTCTATCCTTTCCCACCCCTCTTTCCTTTCCTCCTCCTCTCTTTTTGCATTCTCCTCCTCCCTTCCCGCCTCCTCCCCCCTTGCCTCCTCCCCCGGCCACGTCCTCTGTGCAGTGTGCGTCACTCTGGGCTCCCTCGCTGCCTGCCACTCGCCCCTCTCTCGCACACCCTTCCACTTGTGCTCTGCTTGCCACACAGCACTGCGAAGCAGCCTCACCAGCTGCAGCAGCAGCAGCAGCCTCACCAGCACCAGCAGCTCCAGCAGCTCCAGCAGCAGCAGCAGCAGCAGCAGCTTTGGAGGGTGGAGGAAGGGAATGGCTGCAGGCTGGGGATTTGACTCTTGGCGGGCGTGGTTCGGATCCCTACTCTGTGCATGTAACGGGTTGCATCATGTCCGCACCAGCTGAACGCGCAGCAACAGAAGCCACCACAGCACCACCAGCAGTAGCAGCTGTGCCAGCTGCGGCAGCAACTGCTGCATCCTCAGCGATAGCAACAGCCACAGCAGCAGTAACAAGAGGAGGGCGGGTGGCACAGGCAGGCGAGCCGGAGGTGGCGGTGATGAGTGCGGTGGGTGCACTGGGAGCAGCGGGCGCAGCAGGGCTGCACTCACACCTCTCTGCAGCAGCCGCAGCTGGGCTGCACTCACACCTCTCTGCAGCAGCCGCAGCTGCAGCTGCTGCTGCAGGGCTGCGCTTGCATGAGCTCTTGCAGCTGTCTTTAATGGGGGGAGCCGATCGCCCTTCTGCTGAGAAGAACAGGGGATGGCTGCACGACCTGGTCTCCAGTGGTCGGGTGGCTGGCACGGCAGGGAACAGAAGAACTGGGGAGCGGGCGGGTAGTAGGCCTGGGGGGTGTGATTCTTGTCCTGGGCGTGGCTCGGTGAGAAGGGAGTTTGGGGGGGAAGGAGGAGTGGCAGGTGTGGTTTCTGGAGCGATTGGGCTTGCCGCAGGGGTGACTAGTCGGGGAGGAGGTATGGGGGCTGAGGCGGTGGCTGCTGCTGCGCTGTCTGCTATTCTGCAGCAGGCCATGCAAGGCGGGAGAGGTGATGGTGTTGCTGCTGCTGAGGCCTCTCTGCAGTGGCAAACGCACGGGCAAGTCCAGCAGCAGCAGCAGCAGCAGCAGCAGCAGCAGCAGCAGCAGCAGCAGCAGCAGCAGCATATACAGCAGCAGCAGCAGCAACAGAAAAGGCAGCAGCAACAGCAACAGAAAAATCAACAGCAACAGCAGCAGCAGCAGCAGCAGCAGCAGCAGCAGCAGCAGCAGCAGCAGCAGCAGCAGCAGCAGCAGCAGCAGCAGCAGCAGCAGCAGCAGCAGCAGCAGCAGCAGCAGCAGCAGCAGCAGCAGCAGCAGCAGCAGCAGCAGCAGCAGCAGCAGCAGCAGCAGCAGCAGCAGCAACAACAACAACAACAAAGGCAACCACACGTGGCACAGCCAAAGCAAGAGCCAGTGGATGAGCATGCAGAGCAGATCATGCGGCAGGCAGGACAGGGGACCAGCACACGCGCTAGAGACACAAGAGGCAGCGGCGCTCCAGGAGAAGCAGGGCGGACTCCTCATAAGAAGGCTCGTCATGAACCGAGCCTCGGTCAAACTGGGCTCTCTCTTGCCACTCCAGCAGACCCACGCCTTGTGCCACCATCTGCTGATGCACTCCCTCCTGTTGCACGTGCATCTGCTGCTCTCCCCATGGTAGTTGAAGCAGCAGCGGCGGCAGAGCAGCATGCAGCAGCGTCAGCGGGACAATGGAAAAGAGCATCTGCTGGGCCCTCCAGGGCAATGCATGAGCTTGTGGGTGCTGTGCCGGGGTTCCTCCCGTCTCCTGCCGCTGGCCGGCAAGCCGCCCCTGATATTCAATTGTCTCTGGCGCCTGGTGCAGGTGACAACAGCAGAGCAGCTAAAAGAGGGGATGTAGGTGCTCGATGCGGAGTCATCCCTGATAAAAGGAATGAAAATGTTGTGAGTGGTGCAGGAGAGACGCTAAGTGCCAGCCTGATGGTGCATGGGGCTAGGAAGAGGGGAAGGGCTGGGCAATTGCTGGCAGATGGGTCAAAGGAGACGTTTCCTCTTCTGCTGTCCTCGCCTTTAGGGCTGTTTGACAATAGTGCTGATGGTGGAGCATGGCAAATGAATTGAGGTATTGAAAATTGTTGTATTTACCAGATTCATATTTGTACAACAGAGGTGCTGCAAGTTTTTTGTACATACCACATTCATACTACGTGTCAGAATTATATGGTTATAACTGCATGTAGTTCTAGCTGTAGTGTAGTTATCCTAATTTCCTGCTTGGTGGTGTACCCCCTTTCCTCCCCTATTTGTACTTCACTCTGTCAGAATATTGAACGAGAATGAATGCATTGAGCAGAAAGTTGGTACAAGTACTAACCCTAATTGGGTTGTAGCCCCTTATGGGCTACCCCACTACAGTCTACACAATGTAAACACTAAAACATATTGACACACCCCCATAGGCAAAGTGGGGAAGAACAAGTGTTCACAAGACCAGTCAAGAAAAGCAAAGCAAGCTCAGGGTGGATCACGAAGTCACTACACATTCAAAGCACAAGCAAATAGCCACAAGGCCAGTTCACATGCAGCGGTATATAAAAGAGAACAAACAGTACAGTGATCATACCCTAGCAAGTGTAAGCATGCAGGTATATATAGATCACAGTACAAGCAGAGTCACGCAGTGTGCAAGTGAGGCAACGTAGGCACAAGGCCTAACACAGTAGAGAAGCGCTGATGATCACCAGGCGGAAGTGCCTTGGTGAATATATCAGCAGTGTTGGCCTTAGTGGTCACGTACGCAAGACGAAGCTGGCCACGCTGCTGCAACTCTCGAGCAAGGAAGTATCGCAGAGCGATGTGCTTCGTTCTGTGCTCCAGTCTGTGCTCCTGACACAAGGCAATCATGGCCTTGTTGTCTACGTATAGAACTGGAGGAGAACGAGGCCGCTCTCCCAAGTCGGTCAGCAGGTAGGTGAGCCAGCGTAACTCCTGTGCAGCCATGGCCCCAGCGTAGATCTCAGCCTCACAACTGGAGCTGAGAACCGAAGACGAGCGGGTAGACCGTCAAGAAACAGAGCCGGAGCCAAGGCTAAAAGTGTAACCCTGTGACGACCGCTGTGTAGCCAAGTCGTCACCCCAAGACGCGTCTGCGTGTCCATTGAGGACAACTGGACCCCGTCCTCCAAGAACGAGCCCCATGCCCAATGTACTGCACAAGTAGCGCAACACCCTCTTAGCGGCCTCCCAATGCTGTGGTCGGTGTCTCCCGGGCGCAACGTAGCGTGCCAGGATGCTAAGAGGGTAGGCAAGGTACGGTCGAGTGCAGGTCATCAGGTACATGAGGCAGCCCACAAGCTCTGGATATGAGCCACTCGGCTCTACGGACTGTGGAGCTGAGAGCGAGTGATCGGTAGGCAGAGGAGTGGACTGTGGCGAGGAGTACCGGAAGCCGAAGCGCTGAAGGACCTGGTGCACCATGTGTGACTGAGTCAGGGTGATGGTGCGCCGTGCTCTGTCGCGGGTGATCTGCAAGCCAAGATAGCTGCGCAGCTCAGCCATGTCAGTGCAGGTATGTCTCTTCTGCAGCTCCGACTTCACAAGGGCCAGTGCCTCAGTGTCAGCAGTGGCAAAGACCAAGTCGTCGACGTACACGAGGATGTAGAACGGCGGCAGTGAAGTGTCGGTGCGCAAAAACAGCGACGGGTCAGCACTCGAAGGAGCAAACCCAAGAGCCGCAAGCGTCGTCCTCAGTGTGTCGTGCCACTCGCGAGGCGCCTAGCGGAGACCGTAGACTGGCCGCCTGAGGCTCCACTGGGTACCTACAGGAAACGACCCAGTGAAGCCAGGTGGGCAGCGCAGCCAGATCTCCTCGTGCAGGCTGCCCTGTAAGAAAGCTGTGCTGAAGTCAAGAGAGTGCAGCTCGTAGTCACGCTGAGCGGCGACGTGCAGCAGCACCCAAAGAGTGGTCATCTTTGGGGTAGGGGAGAAGGTATGGAAGAATTCAACTCCCTGTCGCTGACTGAAGCCTCGTGCAACGTAACGAGCCTTGAAGACAGGCGGAGAACCCGGCGGCCGCTTCACCCTGAAAATCCACATGCCATCAACTATGTTCGCCCTAGGAGAGGGAACTGCGTCAACGTAGGTGCATGTGGACTTCCAGGATGCCATCTCTGCATCCATGGCTGTCTGCCACTGAGAGGAGTAGGGACCCGTAATCGCCTCTGCGTAAGTGCGCGGGGTCGGGATGTCTGGTGCATCTGGGTCTCCCTCAGGTGCAAGCAGCATGGCCACGAGATGAGGTAAAGTAGCTGCAAGACACTCAAAGTCCTCCTGCCTATCCTCAAGGACGTCCGTGCCAAGAGCACACTCACCCTCGACGGATGGAGGACAGTCAGACTCAGAATCAGCAACAAGACTAGTGGCGTAGTCGAGACGATAGGCGGCAGCAAAGTCAACAAGCTCAGCAACTAGGGCAGACGCAGCAACGGACTCAAACGAAGGGTCAGTGACAATAGTGGCTAGAAGACGTGGGACAGTAGGACTGGCAGCACAAACTAAGTCAGACTCAGGGTCCAGACCGTCAGCAAGAGAGGACGTAGGAGGAGACGGTAGAGGAACTTGCAGTGGAACAGAGGAAGAACGAAGTGCCATAATGTGAGTGCCGGGGACAGGAGGAGGACGCGGACGAGGAACACAACGACCAGTGCGAACAGCGCGAACAAGCGAGGAAGGACGAGAATCAGGCTCACGACGCTCTGTAAGAGAGTCTTTCTGCTCAGCGTAAGGAGAAGGAGCAGGCAGTGGGGAGCCTGGATGTAACTGTGGCTGCGATTGGTGAGGCAGTGGACAGAGTAAGCTAGGAGTAAGGCCAGTAGAAGATGGGAGACTAAGAACCTGGCGAAGGACCGAGTCAGGTGGTGGTAGAGACGATGGTGGCGGCCGAACGAAAAATGGTCGCCGCTACACAGTACCGCCAGCTCCAGTACCGCCAGCTCCAGCACCCCCAGCGCCAGCACCTCCATCTCTAGGGTCTCCAGCTCCAAGGTCTACACCTCTAGTGCCTCCGGCTCCAGCGCCTCCAGCTCTAGAGCCTCCAGCACCAGCGCCTCCAGCTCCAGCGTCTCCAGCTCCAGCATCTCCAGCTCTAGCTCCTCCAGCTCTAGCGCCTCAAGCGCCAGTGCCTCCAGCTCCAGGATCTCCAGCTCAAGTGCCTCCAGCGCCAAGGTCTCCAGCTCCAGTGCCTCCAAAACCACCAGCTCCGGCAGCTCCAGTACCTCTAGTACGAGCACCTCCAGGACCAGCAGCTCCAGCACCTCCGAGACCTCCAGCTCCAGCAGTAACTCCAGCAGCTCCAGGACTAGTAGCTCCAGCACCTCCAGCTCTAGTGCCTCTAGCGGCAGGGCCTCCAGCTCCAAGGTCTCCAGCTCCAACTCCTCCAGCTCTAGCGCCTCCAGCGCTTGTGCCTCCAGCTCCAGCAGTAACTCCAGCACCTCCACCACTAGTAGCTCCAGCACCTCCAGCTCCAGTGCCTCCAGCGGTAGGGCCTCCAGCTCCTGCAGCGCCACTCCTAAGGCGTGTGCGCTGAGCAAACCACTCGCGCAGCTGCTGCGGTGAGAGAGGCTCCCACCGGTGAGACAGTCGTGGCGAGGCACCCGAAGGACCTCCCCCAAACACAATACCCTTAGGCTCAGCACCCCTAGACTCCGCACCCCCAGACTCAGTACCCCTAGACTCCGCACCCTCAGGCTCAGCACCCCTAGGCTCCGCACCCTCAAGCTCAGCACCCCCAGACTCCGCACCCTCAAACTCAGTACCCCCAGGCTCTGCACCCTCAGGCTCAGCACCCACAGGCTTCGCACTCGCAGGCTCAGCACCCCTAGGCTCTGCACTGGCAGGCTCAGCACCCCCAGACGCAACACCCCTAGCTGCACCTGAGTCTACAGTGACCTCGACAGGCTCAGCCAGGGGGGAGTGGGTCTACCTGAGACACACCTGAGGGAGCAGGACCCTGAGGGGGAGGGGGTCTACCGGAAGGGGGACCTGGAGCGAGGAAGAGCGGCGAGGGGGGGGGGGGGGGGAGAGGGGCAGTGCGGTAGGGGAAGAGACGGTAAAAGGGAACCGACTCGTCAAATGTGACGTCCTGAGAGGAAAGGACACGGCGCGAGGTGGGGTGGTAAAACTGCCAGCCAGGCGCGTCATAGGGAAAGCTAAGGAAGGTGCAGGGAATGGCCTGGGAGGAGAGCTTGTCTACGGAAATATCGCGGACAAAGGCACGAGAGCCTCAGACCCGGAACACCGACGCATCGCCAACCTTCCCCGTCCAACGCAGTGAAGGCGAGGTCTTCGGCGAGGAGACACAGGGCTAAAGGTTGAGCTGATGTGCAGTGTACCGGACCGCAAACGGCCACAGAAAATGGGGAGCAGCCGCATGGATCATGGAGGTACGAGCCACCTCCATGACTAAGCCAATGCGGCGCTCAGCAACCCCATTTTTCTGCGGGGAGGCCGGAAGCGTGAACGACAGGAGGATGCCCTCCCCACGACAAAAGTCCCGCAAGAGGTCGGAGGAGAACTCACTACCTCTATTAGAGTGCAGACGCAGGACAGGAAGGTCCTCACGGAACCGCTCACGGAGCTGGAGACGGACTGCGCAGATCCAAGGGATCAAGACATCAAGGACCTCACCTGTGGTGCGCAAGGGGAAGACCGTGGTGTAACGCATGTAGTCATCACAACCAGCAGGAAGTAGCGCTCGTGACCCTGTCCACTGACGCGGGCTGGGCCCCACACGTCCATGTGGGGAGTTCTCCTCCGACCTCTTACGGGACTTTTGTCGTGGGGAGGGCATTCTCCAGTCGTTCACGCTTCTGGACTCCTCTCAACAAAATGGAATTGCCGAGCGCCGCATTGGCTTGGTCATGGAGGTCGCTCGTACCTCCATGATCCATGTGGCTGCTCCCCATTTTCTGTGGCCGTTTGCGGTCCGGTACGCTGCGCATCAGCTCAACCTCTGGCCCCGTATCTCCTTACCGGAGACCTCGCCTACACTGCGTTGGACGGGGAAGGTTGGCAATGCGTCGGTGTTCTGGGTCTGGGGTTCTCGTGCCTTTGTTCGCGATACG